AGGGCAAGATAAATTCACTTTGACGCGTTATACAAAGCTGTATTCGCCTGCGGAATCTCAAAGGATTTCTCTATCTCTGTATTTTCTTGAATTTTATAAAGAATCGTTTTGTAACGAATCGATTATAAAAGCAGTCAAATGTAAAATCCGTAATCACTGACAACATTTGTGCATAAACATTACAATCTTTTATTAAATCAGTGATATTTTAGATTAATCGGTAAAAAGAATTTATGTGTATTTAACGGTAACATCTGCGTACACTCGACTTTGACACTTTGTGTTGTACAAAGATTTATGATCATTTCTTACGGCAGATTATTCTATAGATAAACGATTATCTCGCTTAATTATTTTTTATTTAATATATATAATATATATTTTTTAAGCAAAATTATAAGTACATATAAGTAATTTAATATATATATATGAAAAATGTTTACAATTTCACACACACACACACACACAATCAAATCTTATTAAATTTATATTTAATCTAAATGCCTTTAATTTGTGTATGTTATTTAATAAAATTAAAATTTGTTTAAACTTTTGGTCAAAGCTAAAACAGATTGCCTTTAGCTACATATTTTTTTACTTGTGTAACCGCAAATAAACGGTGGCTTAGAGAGAATTTTAAAATAAATTTAAGAGAGATAGAGGGGGGAGCCTGAGAGGAATAAAATCTTGCATGATTAGATGGAAATTTCAAGAGAAACGTGTGTGCTTTATGGAGCAGAGGGTTGACAACATTCCGTAATGCCTGATTTTATCTCGGCGCGGCCTTTTTACCGTATCTGTGCGGCATCGTGCACAATAAAAGGATTCCTGACGACCTGACGTGACGATCCTGGATGATGAATGTGCTAAGCAGCATGTCAATATAAAAGAGATCACGATAAATGCCACGAATATATATGATTCGATCGTAAATCTCCTTCACACGCCCCCGCGCATCAATACAATCACACATGATCGCCTCTCGATATTTTGATTCTCACATTTTTACACTTTTGCGCGTCGGATTTTATTCATATTTTTATACAATAAAAATGAAATCAATACAGTAAAAAAGCGCGTTAAAATTAAATTAATATATGTAACATATACGAATAATAAATACGAGCGAATAACATTTTATGTTTTATTGATGCTGGGTGGAAATTCAATTAGATAAAGTAAACTATAATAAAAGATATGCTTATTTTTCTATACTATAATAGAGATGTTAACTGCTATTTGCAAAGAAGATTATTTTAATACATAACGGTTTTTAATGCGGTTTTAAATATTATGCTATTTTAAAAATTTTGAATAATTTATATATATATATACAATATATTAAAAGAATACAAAAATATGAGTGAAAACTAAATAATATAACATATAACACAATAACAGAATTGAAGTAATCGATTACAATAATTAAAATTGATTGCTATAGTTGATTAATTTAATTGTTGTGCTATTTTATGCGTTTTCTTTCATAATTTTCGATTTTTTTACTGGAAAATTGCATTATTTTACATATGACTTTATATTACTGTTGTATGTATTTTTGGACTTCTGAATCGATACAACGTTGATATATAGACATGTTTTAATTGCCAAAATATATTTCTCTCTTGTGAAATAGAAATAAATTTCTGTCGACAAATTTATCGTAACTTTTATGCTATATTATGCTTATATTATATATTATAAGTGTTGTATAATTTTTTGTTAAAAAATAATTATTATTATCTTTTTATTAGCTTTGAAAAAATAATAAGGTAAACTTTTTTTATGTTTTATATATCTAAGGTCTGCGAACTGTTTAGTATCGCTAGATAAAACATTGCTGTAAAAGAATCTATCTTTTTTTCTCAAACACTCCTCACTGCACATCATTGGCTGATGACCTTTTGCTGATATTGATTCGTTTACGTTTGACAAATAAAATCAATTTCGCAGAAACTCGCCTGAATAGAAACTATTTGACGGTTTTTATATTAAAGCATAACCGATAATTAACAATGAGAGTTGGGTGAATGATTATGAAAGCATAGAGAGATTCTTGTTGCGCAAATCACCGCAACGATCTCTCTTTTTATGCATCATATCGATCGCAGGCATATAAGAGTTATAGCATGGTCCATTCAAACTTCGACAAGGAAGTGGCAAAAAATTGCTAAGCCGATTTGCGAGGTGGAAAGAGGAAGAGAGAAATTATATGATTTTTCTCTCGAAAGCCCTTTTCACGCTAGCGCGTTGAAATGGAAAGGTTGCAACAAGTGAGAGATTCAAATCCGACAGGTACAGCAAGCCCCGGATTATTTGTCGCATGCAAACATGCAGCAGTGCAGTATGTAGATTGCACGAGTATTCGTATACTATAACACCTTCATAATCATTTAATTTCTATATTTATTCCATTTTTATTTATAATAGTATTTTTTTCAGTAAATGTTTTAATATTTTATATATTTATTTTTTATTTTTCATAATTTAATCTAAGAATTTTTTTATTTGATAAAATATCAAATATTAAGGAAATGTAAGAAATATTCAATAGTTCTAAAGTAAATTAACTGTTATTGAACTTACATTATTGGCTTTTTTCTGATACAAAATAAAGAAATTACATTATTAAATCAACATATCGTTAATAATTGATTGCAAAAGCAATGCAACGTATTAATTATTATGATAATAATTTTGCTGCAATATATATTTGTGAATACTAATCGGACCAAATATTTTTCATTTTATATTTTATATCTTATTGATATCTGTAGTACAGTTTAGGGATTACGGAAAATACATCACACGATGACATTTGCGACTGACATTTAAGAGGTTGTTAGCCATATTAGACTAATGTGAATCTACGTAATATTATGGCATTTACCTTGTGTTTATTCATTATATCGACACCGTGTCAACGCAGTTTAGTCAAGTTAATCCATGATTGATGACTGACAGGGAAGCACGTAATTAAGATGCAAAAATCATCCTGCAAGTCGTACATCATTAGCTTAAACTAATACGATTTAGCGTCTTCGTAAGCTTTGCGAATAAAAATGGAAAGTAAGCTCCGAGCTAATTTGCAGATATTTTTTCGTTGTGGTAATTTTTACATGGCACAGGGTGGAATAACATGACGCGACGTATCAGAATTTTTTTCATCATTTGCGCGTGAAATGTCATATGTTAAAAAAACGCACCGACGTTTTTTGCTGATCGACAGCTTCCAATTTTGGAACTGACCTACTTTCGATCGTGCAGAATGGGACAGTAAGGATTTTATAGCCATTCATATATGAACGTAGTAACTCTTGTTAATCATAAAAATGTTCTATTCTCGTTCAAGGCTATTAGCTATAGAAGCGACGTGCTTTATATTAACTGAACGAGTGAGAAAACGAATCGTGACTCTAACAAATCTGTCAGATATGAATATGATTAAGTCTTTTGATGTTTTATTTGCAATTTTATTTGCGATTTGTGAGTGATTTTAATTTAATTATCACTTCTCAACTTGTTATACATTTTTTATTATAAGATATATATCTATACGAGAATATAATATATATATTTATACACATAAAATGTTGAAAAGAGTTTTAACAACTTATGGAAGGTATTTACTAGATCGGCTAAACAACAATTGCGTAGGAATATAGATTGAAAAATCCAATCCATCAGAAGTAGTTTTTGTAAAACAAGTGATTTACTCGATTCTGTTTGTCATATGCAATATGGAAACGAAGGATTATCTGTTATATGTTCTTATTCTGATGTTTACATGAGGTATTCTACGTAAAAATGTATACGACATTAAATCCAAGATCCCTGAAAAATGAGTCGAGGAAAGTCGGAAATATTTAAGAGTTTGCAACATTTCACAAAAGATGCAAATGGAAGGAAAAATCTATACGTACGCAGAACACCGTTTGTAAACGTGACAGTAAGATAATATTTTATTTTATATCGCATGCGATAAATAGGAGCAAGCTTTCTTTATCTTGCTTCATCAAAATCGAAGATCATTTTTAACTCTGACAGGATTGATTTTTCGATCCAAATTTTTACCGAGCATGTTTTATTCGACATAATGAATGCTATCTAATAATATTTCTAAAATACATGTCTCACGACAATCAATGATTGTGCTAATTAATCGAAATACTTATTTAAAACTATATATTTTTTCAAATTCTTATATCTTTACGCAGAAATCAATAATGAAGTATCCTACGTGAGTTTTTTCTTTAGAAATGATTTCTAAATCGGTGATCGAATAATCTACCGAGAAATCCCATTCGTTCTCTCGCGCGACATTTTTTCGCGTCCCGCGGACTACGTCTCTGTTCTAATTCTCCCGCTCTAATTCCGATAGTCTCATTAGACACAATTACGCGCGCCTCCTCTGGTCGCTTCAGGATCTCGATTCCCTTCCCCGGGCATTCGTCGCCTCCGCTGGGTACGATATGGTACATAACAGGTTGTGCGTCACGGAGAAGCGCGTACGCCTAATTCTCATCAATCGGTGACGAGCGCGCGCGGCGCGAAACGCGCGTCAGTTATGACATTCCGACAGCGACATTCGGTGCTTCGCGGATGCGTCCTAGCTCTCTCTCTCTCTCTCTCTTGGGTCTCCGCGCTATCTCTATTCGAGAAACTATCTCAAAGTACATAATAACCCTATATACGGTACATATATCCCGAAGATGTTCAGAGAACATCCTGAAGATGTTCGGGAATGTCCTCTGGATATCCTTCGGATATGTTGTGCTGTTAAGGTACCATTTATCGTACGCACTACTTCACTATCTGCGAAAGGTGAGTGAAAAAAAAAGTCGCGGTCGTCTCGACTGTGTATAAAAAAGACACGTGAAACGTGGATATATAACGGTGGTGTGTAACGATTATAGAAGGGTGACGCGTAGCAGAGGGTGAGAGTGAGAGGCGATGCGCGTTGGCTGGCTGGTGAATGAACGAGAATTGGATTCACTAACCTGCCAGTGCCTGTCCGCCGTGTCCGGAAACCGAGAAGCGACTGAGAGAGGTGGTAGCGTCGAGGCGACTGTCCCACTGCCTTGGCCGTACGAAACCCACCCTCGCGGCGGCACCTTCCCTCCCTCCGTCACCCCTCGTCGTCATCGTCGTCGTCGTCGATCCTGCCACCACGTCGCCGAGGTCCCTGTTCCTTTCACGAAACGGGGATGCTCTTTCGAGACTTCGTTCTCTCTCGCCTCGTTCATGCTCTCTCATTCGGCCCATTTCCTCTCTCTCTCTCTATTCCATCCCTTCTTCTCGTACTCCTTTTGCCACCCTCGTCCTCCTCTTCTGTCACGCTCTTCCACCCCTCTGTCTTTGTCGCGCGCCTCCGTTTGTTCTTCCCCCGTTCACGCTTTCCATCACATTTCTTCCGTTTCTTTTTCGGGAACTCCACCTTCGCGCAGGATTCCTCCCGCCATTCTCTCCGGCGCGTCTGCTAAATTTTCCTCCCTGAAAACCATCCTACAAATGTACGTCCGGGAAACTGCACCCCTCTTCTGTCAGTGACGTAGTTGTCGCTCGGAGAGCCCTCGGAGCGCCGGCAAAACCTCGAATAATTGATAACCGATCGTGTAACGATCTTGTTATTTCGAAAATGTATAAGGGGATATTAAGGACGCCCAACAATTTGATGAATCAGGTGTGGATATTTGAGTGATTCAATTTTAAGTTACTTGGAGTTTCAAAGTCGAGCCGATATCGAGATTATTTTCTTACCCTCGAGAAAAAAGTACGAAGAGATAATTTTATTTTCTTCCAATTGATTTTAAAATTTAATATAAATATCATTTATCTTGCGTATAATGAAGAATATCTTGAAGTGGGCAAGGACGATCGAATTTCCGCGATAATGATCTAATGAGAATAAGTGAATGCGTGAAAACGGAGAAAAACAGTGAACTTATATAAAAATCTAAAAAATAAATCCTGAAGTTCTAGATTACGTCAGTGAATTGACACAGTCCCTTTTTCGCATAATCGGTTGATTTTCCCGCGCTCGCGTCCTTCTTCAATTTCCGTCTCTATATATTTTAGGAAACGACGGAAATGACAATTTTCCGCAAGACACATTTTATTCAATATGTGTCGAAAATTCGAAAGGATTACGACCAAAATATTTCAGTCCCGGACGTAAATCCCGGATGGTCTGGGAATAAACGTGACGTCCATTACGCGAGTTCCTCGGGATCTAGGAAAGCACTGTATCATGCGAAATGTCAAAGGCTAGATACCAGCTCTCGTCTGGCTACATAGAGAGGTGAACTTAATATTTTTTCGCCCACGTATCCTAACCGGCCGCAGGAAAAGTTGCGTGATATTGTCGCTCATAGAGCGCTGCCTCTTACAGAAAGTAATATCCCCTTGTTCTGACAATGAGTAAATAATACCGTAGAAAACACTGGAGGAAAATCAAATCGCGCGATCCCCGTCAAAAGGATCATTCGTCTCATTTCGTAGATTTTCTAGTTTGTTTAGGATTCTCAATTAAAAGATGTTGTTTCGGACGTTGAATAACGTGAGAGAGATATCTTACTTGTTCTACTGTTTCATCATTTTAAGATATTAGATAACATTATGATATTTAATTTATGTGACATTTGATACATTTGTCTGAAATTTAATTCACAATATCGTAGATATTTTCGAGATATTTTGATCTAAAATAAAAATTACTTATATTTGAAAGTGATAAAGAAGTTGAAGATTGCAACAAAATTTATTCTTAGTATGATTTATATAAGATAATTGAAGTTTGATTGCAAAACAAGCACAGTTGAATCAAACTTGCACTTATATGTTTGTTCCCATCCTCGTGACTCCTCCTCAATTATATTAACGAACTTTCCACGACTAAGTGCTAGGAAGGTGAGTTCCGAGAGCTCGCGAACTTATACAAAAAGCGCCGATGAAGCGGACAGACAGCGAAGGAAGGCGGTGAAGTGTTTGAGAACTTTTCCCATTTTAGTCGCCGTGCCGCTTCGAAAAGAGATTTCCGCCCTAATCTCGCCGTGACTGAAATAACGGGTAAAAAGTAATAAAAGACGCGATTGAATTGACAGCTATTTAATCTTACCATCTACCCAACCTGAAGGGTGTGTCAAACTCATCTGTCTTTCGAAGAAGGGATAAAGAGGGATAGAGAGAGATATGTCGCACAGAAATGAGAATATGCAAATGACGAAATATGAATTTGTTGTAAATTAAATATATTAAATATTTGCGCGGATTGAAATAGATTAACGGTTTATTGCTCATTGAATAATTGCCGTATCGCGGCTTCTCGGCGAAAGCTGCGAAATTCATTCACGGTTGCGGTTCCAGGATTAAGGGGCAAAATGCCGCGAAAACAGTCGAGGACGAAAAGCCGCAGCGAGCGAGCTATAACGATTTTGACTCCCGGATACTTGTTGCGCAGGCGAGCTAAAACTTAGCTTCTTTAAGCTATATTGACTGCGACTACGCTATACAACGTGCCCCCGAAAAAGCCCGGGGTAGTCAGGATTCATTTTAGCAGCAGACACAATTAGACATCTTCTGAAACATTTTATCTTTCGCTTATAGTATCATTAATTTCGATTTATTAAATCTAATTTTTTATCCCTTATTGAATATTTACTCTGAATGGGTAATACTTCATTCGTCTCTATTCAACGTTAACTGAAAACAAAGGCGCGACTTTTATCATAAATACGATAATGCGCTTTTAATTAAAGCTCACAATAGCTTTCAATAATAGGTATACAAATAACGATTCGTGTAGGAATCGCGTGGCTGAATTTTTCAAAAATTATCTTCCTCGCGTACATGAATCAATCTCATACGATTGATGCGAGATTACGATCTTCAGCGAGTATAACGCCCACGCGTCCACAGCGCGAACGAATTATACAATGCTAGTTATTGCAAGGAATGAAACGAGATATATGTGACAATGCCGGATCTATTAATATTGAAATGGAAGTATACTGCTGTCAGGGTAGGAAAATTAGAGCGATGCGAATTACGAGATTATGTCACCAATTATTTGATCTATATGGACGAAGGTTACATTTATCGCGTCGACAAATTAAAAAAAAACTAAGTATTTTTTTAGAAAATTATACCGCGTATATCTATTGTATAACAATCGATTTAATATTAATCTATGATAATAACTCGTTATATGAAATTTGATATGGAATTTGCAACTAGAATCATTATTCATGCAAATAATAAGCAAACCAGGTTAAATATGGAATATAATTATAATATGTACCATATATCTACAATACATTTGCAAAATATAAGATTTTAATCTTTCTTTTTCATCATTTCTTTTTTCGATTATAACAATATTTCGCGATATTTCGAGGTCCTTTAATTTAACATTTAAAACAGTTTTCAAGTCATTTTTTATACAATTATAATTATTAATTCTTTCTCTCTTGGTAAGATTAATAGAAATCGATAAAGGCAAAATCTAATTTCAATTTATGATATATATATATATATATATATATATATATATATTAATATATTTCATAAAAAGCAGCTGGATTTTCCTGGCAAGTTAAGCTAAATAATTTTAGTCATCTATTATTGGAAGAAAGGGCATCGCGCAATGTCGATCGCATGAGTAATTATGACCGGCAGCAAATGAATCAGAAAAGTTTTCTCGCATCGACAATTTCTCTCACGAGGCTCGCATCGAAATACGAATCTCTCTCGTAAAATACGGCTTTATGCTTTGCACCTGACGCCATTATAACGGGACAATGTATGTATGTCGTGTCAACAATGGGTGTCATCGCCGTAGTGACGCACATTGTGCCATCCTAGAAGCCTCCTCGAAATAAGTATATATATATATATATATATATATATATATATATATATATATATATATATATATAGTCCGATGGATCGGATCGAAGTTGTGTAGATCGCTGATGATCGAATTAAATGTAGGCGGCAGTTAATGGCGAATTGAAATTAATTATTTAGTTGTTGATTCCTTTTTTATCAATAATTATGTCATGAGGATTTAATATTGCAAATATCATTGCGGCAAAGTGATGAGAACTTTAACATTCTATCACATGAATTACGGAATATCTAGAAGAAAATTATATCGTTATGTACGTCTATATAAAAAAATTAAAAACAAGTTTCTAAACTTTTTTTCTTGCTAAAATATATATATTTGATGTGTACACCTCTCTCTCTCTCATTCTCTTTTACTAAATTGTATTATGAACATTTTTTCAGGTAAATGTTTATAATATAATTTAATATTTAATATATATTTAATATATATATTTTATTCAACTATGATATATGTAAAATTTGAATAAACTTAATTATTCAATTAGTGCATTTAAAAATGAAATATATCTTGTATCTGATCATGAAGGATTTGCTCAAGATCTTCGATCTTCCATAATAGCATTGATAAAAGACGCTGACGTTTATTTTGAGAAAATTGCATAGTTTTAATATGCAAAATCTCGAGATAAGTTAAATCATAATCGAGATTGATTATGCAAATGGAAACTTTATGGTTTATAGAACATTCTTTGAAAAGAAAAATACAAAGCATTTTTGTGTGCACATTTTGATTAAAAATAATATTTCTCTCTTAGCTAATTATTTAAATAAAACCAAATTTCTTTGAATTTCAGAATTGTCGGAATGACTTTTATTATGGAATATTTTAATGTGTGTAGCTAAAATTAAATCTTAACTTCTAATTTAGTTTTTCTTCTTTAATTTGATTCTCTGATTTTGATCTTCAAAGACAAATCAATTGAAAAACGTTGCTAGTGTATCTTTATAACAGTAGTGTGCAAAAATCAAAAGCTGGCCAGCTTTTTTCACAGCGCAGTTTTGAATTGTTTGTTGTTTCGTGATTGGTCGATTCAATCTCGTATCCGTCTCATCACATGTTGTATTCTAGTAGGTATTAAGGGCTTTAGAGAGATTCTCTTGTACGCGCGTGCTTGAGAATCATGTATGTATATACACAAAGTGTATATGTATATTGAA